AAGCACGGCAATAACTTTGGTAAACATCACCTTAGTGTTGTTACAGATTGGAATCTTTGATTCTTTTAGTGGTTTTGCTGTTGATTGACCATCAATAATTTCATTACATCCATTTTGAAATCACCGGTGATCTTTACAATCTGATTGGCTCTCAGCAGTGCGATTTATTCACAAATCATAGTATTTTTCCCTCTGAATCCCATCTTCTTTTCAGCCGCTGAAAAAGCTTTACTTAAGCGTAAAAACCTATTAGATTTCAAGGGCTGTTTAAAATAACCAATCAAATTGCTGGAAATTGAAAGACAAGTTTTGGAACTTTTTACAAACCAGCATTAGTACTGGATCATTCAAGTAAATATTTGTACAGACTAGTAAATTCTGTATCTGAGCGACTGAGTTTTGCGATTTCAAAATAGGTAATAAAGTGGTAACTGAACTTCTTGTTGCGCAATTCTGATCTGAGATCATACCTGAGACTTCGGATCAAACTCGCACTGCGTGCTTGTTCCATTTTGAAATCACACTTATGATCTCAGACCAAATTGCACTTCACTCAGTTCAGTTACTGAGTTCAGTTACTGTTGTAAATTATTGCATATTTGACAGGAGCTGTCTTGGAGGAATATTCTAAAGTTAGAAACAAAGATGCAGAGGCTATTTGTGACATGTCTATGGATAATTATTTGGAGGTACATTATACTAATTGTGGGGTAAAACCCATCATTACTATTATTTGACAACAAACGAACGCTTACAGGAATTGATTAAAAATTATTTAATATCTCTTTTCGTATTCTTTGACGCTTAAATACATGTTTATTTAATCCTTCATTTATGACTCTCAAACTTTCTTGGATTTTAATTTGCTACTGTCAAAAATTGAATTTTGATCAAAGCTCTGATGGAGACTTATTAAGTTTGATAGTGCCTCTTCAAGTTATTCCTTTACTTGGACAATTCTGCGATCCTGCCCCTGTCACCCGTAGTTTTTAGTTTATTTTCTTTAATAACATTTACTATGTTTTATAATTCTGTTTTCTTTTCTTTTTTTTTTTTTTATCTCGTGGGCAATACCTCGCATGAGTCCTTGTTTCCTGTTCGCACCAGCCCTTTTGGGTCCACAGCCTTTTTTATGCTTTGCTCTCTCAATAATTGTTCTTGCTGCATCTTGTATTTTTATTTTTGTATTGAGGATACCAGCCATTAATTAGCGACTATTCTTGGAGGAGCAGTTATACCCCAAGCTGTTGCATGCTACTGCAACTGGCATGAGATAGTCTAGAGTGACCAACCAGGGTTAAGATTTAACCCAATGTTGCATATTTTTTTTTTCATATTTCCAGTTGAGATCATTGGTCAATTCTTTTTGGTTCCTTCTGGAGAGAAAAGTGATGTATGCCTTAAACCGGTTGATGCCCAAAACTTTCATTCCGCTTCATACTATGGTAAGACTGACAATTTTAGGGAGATTTTTGAAGGCAGGAAGGCCATTACAATACGCACAGGACCAACATTGGTGAAGTATTGTTACCCAATGTTGCAGGGTCAAAATGAAACCTACAAATACCCTTAATCACCTATTAAATATGCTGAATCATTGCTGGCAACTTCTTCATTTGGCCAATATCGGTCTCTTTTTTTGCTAAGGTGGGACCAATACTGACAAATGATCAATTTTATCTCTGCCACTTTTCCATAATTAGTCCCATTTCGCTAATATTGAAACTATGATGGAGTTTACCACTTCGTCTTTTTAATCAAGCTGAAACGAAGCCTAGTTTTTTGTAACACTGATATCGCATGGGAATGACTGAACACTCAGGAAAACCGCTCACTATGTAAATATCTCTCAATGCTGTCACCGATTTCGCCAATATTGGAGCAATGTTATTAGCCACCCCTATAGCCAACGTCGGTAAAGACAGATCTTTCTTCATAGGTAACGTACACACACATACCTTATCACGAAGTGGTTAAAAGAAATCAGTGGCAAGAAAAGGTGAGCGACTTTTTCCAAGTCTGATTCATAAGAAAGTTATATAATTATGCCAGAAAGGACACGACAGAGGTAAAAAAAAAGGTAGTGTGGTTTCATTCTTGCAATAAGCTGAGAATTTTGGATGAAGTGTGGCAGAGGGTTTTAAACAAGGGTTCTGTTTTGTAGCTGAGATTTCGCAGATGAAGGAATGCAAACATTATGAAACCACTTTGGTCTGCCATGACGAAGACTCAAATCAAACCTTCCTCTAATTTTTTTTTTCAAAAAAATATTGATTAAATTTTTTTCCTTGAGAGCAACAAAGTGTCCTACAAAGGAAAAGATACAATGTACCAAAAACTGTGTTTGAGAGCATAGAAATTTGTTAATACCCCTTTGGCATATTTTTTAAAGGTCTTGTAAGAATAACTTGAAAGGAAACTTCTGAATAAGTTTTGAGTGAGGCAAAAACATTGCAGCGGGTTTGTAACACAATGTGAATGTTGTCATGTTTTTTTTTTTTCAGATGGTGCGCCTTCTTCTTATGACGGGCTCAGTAACAGGGTTAGCTGGACTTATGGTGATTTTAAAGACTTGGAGATTTCGAATAAGCTGAAAAGAAAAGAAAGCATTGCAGTGCATCCGTTGAAACCGGGGCAGCCCGGACAAAATAACGTTTTAAGAACCTTCTGTGACCCGTGACAGAACTTGTGGAGGCTTTTATGCATTGTGGCTTTTCTTTGTGCAAGTGTCTAGGGCAAATGAAACACACTTATTTTAACACGAAGAGTAGAAATCCACAACCCATATCTTTATGAATTTAGTATTTTATTATTTTTTTTCTTGTAAGTTCTTGTAGTCTACCTGATGTCTTGGGATGCGAGACACACGTAACCCTTTACAACCCAAAATCATGCATGCATATTCTCTACAGCGTTCTTTATGCATTTCCTAAGGTGCTGACAAAGAGAATTTTTTAACAATCAATAGCTTCTTTGGTTTGTTATCATTTCCTTTATTGTTGTGACGTTGATGTGTGATTCAGGGGTGATATTATAACAAGAAATTAGTATAGTAAAAATTTTATATATATTTAATAGGGACTGTCAATTGATGACAAGTTAGGGTTAATGTTGGGCTAGGGGAGGGGTAGGTGGGCAGTTGCCCTGATACTGATCCTTTAATAGAATCGAGAATTTTCAGGACTCATCGAGATTTAGATATAAAGAGGTTTTAAATTCAAAGTATGAAACGTGAAGAAATAAAAAGAATATTTTGTTTTTCTTAGCCATGAACCAAACTACCACTTCTTTCATTTAGCCTTAAAATATGACCACGAACTGTTAACCTTTTAACTCAAGATCTGATTGTTAATTTTCCTCACTAGCTGCTACACATTTCCTTGTAAATTGGTTACAAGAATATGGTGTTAGATCAAGGTAACAGCTTCCACCTGATAAGTTTGAATATTCT